AAGAGCGGATGTCTCCCCTTGAAATTCCTCTAGTTCGACCAACACCTCATGGAGATCCTCCTTTCAGTGATCCTCATCCATCTGAGCCCCTCAGCCACTTTCTCATTGATCTCGATGGGGTAAACCCAGAGGTTGAATAAGTTCTCCTCGCTCCTGATCGACACTAGATGTACAGGAGTCGGCCCCAAAGCTAGATCAAGGCAGACACCAGTAAGAGGCAAGCCCTTGATACGTATGTCCTCATCTATTTCAAGAGATAACTAATAAAAAAAATCTAAAAAGCCTAAGACAATAAAACATTCATACTTAGAATTCTCTCCATCTCAGACCAATTAAGTAGTTGAGAGTATGCACCCTTTTACTAACGGGGGATTAGCAGTAGTTTCTTTCATCCTAACTTACTGTTGACCATCGTTGGTTCTTTGATCTCTAACCAGTTGAGAAGCACCTATAGTTTTTAGTTACTTGAGACTGTAATAGAAGCCTTAGTCGGCGAACTAGCACTCAAACCACCCAACTCCTTCCCAACACTGGTTTACTCTTCTATAAAACCTCTCAGTTCAAATCCAATTATTTCCTCTGATCGATCCTATTGGACATCTTTGGCTTCTTGGCAATTTTTTTCTCCAACAGCTTCCTCAGGTCACCCTTCGGATGACAATGTTTCTTCACCCCAAAAGTAGCCAACATCTTCTTCCGGTCTGTTGACCTCACTTTTGGTTGAGGTCTAGAAACTTCTTTAGTAGCCTAGGTCTAGCCATAGGACTTTCCTATTGACTAGTCTTAGAAAATTAGAAAAGGTACCCCCACCATTAGAAATTCAAAACTCTTCTTTTTACTCAACTTGAAATTCCACATAATGATCTTAATATATAATAAGATAATCTTAGTATAAGAATAAAGGAAGAATATGGGAGAAGAACCAGAGATGAAGAACGAAGAAAAGTAAAGAACAAAAACTTAGGGTTTTTTTGGAGCAGCTGCAGCGTACAAATAAGCACTTGCACAGGTGTTGTCACAGGAAGTTGTTGCGTATAAGCTGACTGTTGTTTTCTTTTTGCAGTTTGAAGATAAATGTGCGACAACTTTTTTAGACAAATGATCAATCTACTCCTATGTAGTAAAGTTGTTTGTAACAAAACTGTCATATCAAAATATTTGATACTTAAGAATCAAAAATCCACGTCAGAACAATACAAAAAATAAGATTTACACATCAATTAACAGTGAGTATCATGATTATTAAAATAAAGAAAAAATTATTAAAATAACATATAATAATATGATAATATTATTTTTAAAATGCAGATAACATATGTCACGAGCTATGCCGTCCTCCAGGGATATTATCCTTTCCTGATAATCGCAGCAGGGGAATCTGCTAGACTGTCCGGCCATCTGAAGAAGTCATACTTCTCTGTGATTCTCCATAGGCACTTGTAGAACTGTCTCTCATAGCTATGTAGCTGGCGTGACGTCAGTGGAGAAGTCTGAAGTCCACAATGACACAACAATCCTCGGGAGATTAAAGAAATTCTAAAGCTTATCTTTCCTGAATGTTTTAAAAGACAATCAATTAGTCATAACACAAGTAGAAACTGATAAAAGAAAGAATTAATTACAGTTTTGTGCAAGCGTGAGGTCTCAGAAAACTCAATATATCAGTCAATGAATCTGTCACTACAAGAAGACAGCGAACCTTATAAAAAAAATGCTTCTTGGTTGTTTTTAACCCATGTAATACCAGACTTGGGTGTGTCGCATATGCATATTACCAAAAATGTCATCCATAAGAGCCTTAAAGACCACAGCACCAAAAAGAAGAGAGGAACTTGGTTGCCTTCATCACCAACCATCAAAGACTAATAGGTCATTTGAAAGAGCCCATATGGTCAAACATCTTATCATGGACCTCTTAAACCCACTAAAAGAAAAACAAAAGAAACGTTAATAAAAAAAAACACTTACGAACAACATAAAAAACTAAAGAAATCAATCTAAGGAAATAAACATTAGTTGTATAAAATACAAATAGTATTGAATAAACTATAAATAATAATACAATGAATACTCTAATCATGCTTCTATTATTGCATCCGTAATTTGTTTTCTCAACTCAGTCATCTCCCTTGCATCTTTCCTATTTTTTGTAAAGGTGGTGGAAGCATCATTCTCAAGCTGTGACAAAGAATGTCTAAGAAGTTCTCAAATGCCAAGGCAGGTACATGCTCATGATTCTCATCCACCCTACGGAAGTCGATGTCATTACGGGAAGGGTGCCACCAAATGTAATTGTGGAGTGTCATTGTGTTGATTACAATCTGCACCTGTTTGAGAAATTTGTAAGATAGCATATTGCAAAGTATAACCCATTTCTTCTTTCAAACACAAAAATTTTTCTCAATGACACCGTGTTAGGAGGAATGTCTTTTATTGAACATTTTTTCTGCATATTATTACATTACTAGTTCACTCAAAGTCGGGTATGTGGTATCTCGTATCAGATAAGGCTTGAGAAACCCTCGCTGCAACGAATATCTAGCATCAACCAAATAGTGTTTATCTTGTATGTATTGTATGATCAATATTGTGAATTAGGAGAGCAGCTCAATCTCAAGCGTACATGTGGGTAGATATGGGAAGTTGTACTTCTTATTCTGTGTTGCAGCTTTGAAAACTCTACTGTAATGTACACTAGCCTCCCAACAGGCCATGACAAAAGTAAGGACCCATTTGGGACGGCTTATTTGGTGCGGTGGTGTTTTGAAAAGACACCTGGCCAGTTTGAATAAACTTCATTTTGGCAGCTTATGTGTTTGAAAATACTGAGAATAGCATTTTCACACTACACCTATCTAGGTGTGGTAGCAGCTTTCTGGCAGCGGTCTGGATTTTCCAAAAAAAATAAAAATTTGTAATAGCCACCACACCTAGCTTATCAGAAGATTATTTTTAATTAGCTTATCAACAGATTATTCAATAAGATGCAGCTAACCCAACATGTTAAAGTTGGATGCGATCATGAAATTCTGCGTCGGGGACCCAAAACAGCTGATGAATGTGATCTTCTCATTATTTGAAACACGTGCATCAAAGTGTATTTTATCGATTATTCCAATACAATTCTAGAAAGATAACGATGAAATACATAATAACATATTTTTTTAAAAATTGAATGTAATAAATTTGAGAAATTACTTTAATGAACGATATGTACTAAGTATCGTGTAAAATCTCTGTGGAGGTCCATTCAAATGTAGGATCTGTTGGTTTTATGAATTGTTAAGAAAAACTTACAAGTGCATGCAACCCCACCAAGAATTATCTATAAATTGTTTCATGGGAGTGTTGAAATTGCTCCATTGCTTCTCATATTGATTCATTCTGTGATAATATGTAGAGGATTATCTCAAACACCTCTCGTAAAGTTGTCCCAGATGAACCAGGAAGTCTATGATTCCTCTAACATATTGTTGAATATCTTCTGTGTCATGTGGAACATATTATTAAATCTCATTGGGTGGCTCACAAGCAAGTCCCCAACTCATTTATCCCTAGCATATTAGGATGTCATCTAACATGAGCGCTCTATGTACGAGTTATAATATCCGTACATCAAGCATAAGCCAACAACAACTCTCTTGCTCCTTTCTCTAGTTGCATCCATGTTGGCCAGTATCGTATTGGATAACACAGAAGCATCAATGAATTAATTACAATCTTATAAGATTACAAACAAATTTAATAATTATATAATCATCAATGAATAAGACATGTCCCAAGCAGTCAAAATATCCAAAGAAAAATGAAAAGCAATAAATAAATATGAATGTCCAATGTGATTGTAAATAAAAAAAGTTTCTTAAATGTTCCTACGACCATAAAAAATATCATAGGTGCACCACCCTATGATCATCAGGCATCTTAACAAAGAAATCTTTTTGGATTGCATCTTCAAGCAACTCTATCACAAACAAGTATAACGATAAGTCCTCAAAAATTTATGGAGTTGCATTTAACAATTTGCATAACCTTGTCGACAGAAGCTGCTTGAGATATGATGAGTTCATTGTTGCATAAAGCCATCAGCTTTGATATCTGACTTTTAAGAGAAGAAGCTCTCATTTTCTTTTTATTCTCAACCCGCGGACGCATAGAACAGTTGGTAAATCTCTAATCTAATAGGTAATATATGGCTAAATAGTTCAACCAACCATGAAATCCCTTTGTATCGACAGAAGAATACAAAAGTCATGATTTTGCAATGGAGTTTAGCTTGATTTTTATTAGAATAACGTATAGATTGAAAATTGCCTGAAGATCCTTTTAGAGAGGTGGCCATAGACCATACCTCAATTGATCCTTATAAATAACCAGGTCATCTCCAAACTAATTGATAGCGTTTTGTTCAGGCAAGTGGCCTAGAACTTAATGGTTAGGATGTAAAGGATAGCCTCCTCCATAAAGGGTACCTCTGAAGGAGACAAAACTAACCACTTGGTCGCCACCATTATGATGGTTTACAAAGTATGTTTTGGAGCCTTCAAAACATTAAAAGAAAAACCTAGCAAAGAAAGAAGAAACCAAACAATAGAAAGGCATTAAGAAAAGACAACACAACCACAAAATAACACATTCAGTTCTAATTTATAGGGATACAATAGAAGAGGAACCATCACGCAAAAATGTCATGTCAACACAAAAATCAAGAAAAAAATATAATAAAATTTCATTTCAAAAATATTAAGAAATTACCCTCAGACTCTAGTTCAACAGAAGGTACTTTACGAACTGGATATCAGTCACCTCGGCCGAGACAAGACCTTTCTAAGGAACCTCCATTACAACATCTAACCTTGGGCTTGATTTCCTCTGCCAACCTCATAGCGACCCCTCTACACATAAGCATCCTCTTGGATTTCAGACATTTCTTGATGAAGAGCGGATGTCTCCCCTTGAAATTCCTCTAGTTCGACCAACACCTCATGGAGATCCTCCTTTCAGTGATCCTCATCCATCTGAGCCAAAGTGGCCTCCACTTCATGAAAGTGGTGGGTTAATGTCCTTAAGGACATCTTGCGCCCCTCAGCCACTTCCTCATTGATCTCGATGGGGTAAACCCAGAGGTTGAATAAGTTCTCCTCGCTCCTGATCGACACTAGATGTACAGGAGTCGGCCCCATAGCTAGATCAAGGCAGACACCAGTAAGAGGCAAGCCCTTGATACGTATGTCCTCATCTATTTCAAGAGATAACTAATAAAAAAAATCTAAAAAGCCTAAGACAATAAAACATTCATACTTAGAATTTTCTCCATCTCAGACCAATTAAGTAGTTGAGAGTATGCCCCCTTTTACTAACGGGGGATTAGCAGTAGTTTCTTTCATCCTAACTTACTATTGAACATCGTTGGTTCTTTGATCTCTAACCAGTTGAGGAGCACCTATAGTTTTTAGTTACTTGAGATTGTAATAGAAGCCTTAGTCGGCGGACTAGCACTCAAACCACCCAACTTCTTCCCAACACTGGTTTACTCTTCTATAAAACCTCTCAGTTCAAATCCAATTATTTCCTCTGATCGATCCTCTTGGACATCTTCGACTTCTTGGCAATTTTTTTCTCCAACAGCTTCCTCAGGTCACCCTTCGGGTGGCAATGTTTCTTCACCCCAAAAGTAGCCAACATCTTCTTCTGGTCCATGAGTTTGGACAAAGGATTCAATCTTTTCTCCATAAGGATGTCTTCAGACTTTGAGTCGATGCAAAGAGAGACAAATGTTGAATGTTGAGAATGTCCACTATACCTTATTTATAAGGGTCACGGGCATGAGAACTTTGGGATTTAATCAATGCTTTCTATTATTACTGTTAAAATTTATTATTGCTTTAACTTTTTTTTATTTTTATCACACTTGTTGCTATTAAGAAGTAAGAGAATCAAAGAACTTAAAATGTGCATTGAAAACTGTGTCAGCACAAATATTGAAATATTATAACACTTCAAGATTAAAGAAGACATGACGAAGGATCCCTCTAACGAAAACAATAATGCCTCACTAATCTGACAGATTAATAGCCAACCCATCCGGCTGAAGGGTTAGCAGGCGATGAAAGACAAGTTCAGACAACTTAAGGGCCACCCAAGCTAACAAGAAATAGTTACCCACATTGATCACTCTAAAGGAAACGACCAAATAAAGATCTAGCACCTCCAATCATCTAGCGGTATCAACTCAATGCCCTCTCAAAAGCTCCCCAAATGATCACCAAGGACAATAATTAGAAAAGTTGACCAAACACTCAAGAGCCAACCGACCATCCTACTCAAGAACTGACCGACTTTTAATTCAAAAGCCAACTGGTGCCCAGACGAAAGCCTTCCGAAACTTGCTCAGTCGATCGACCAAAAGACTTGTGGTGCAAAAGGTCTAGACGCTAAAAAAAGACTAAAATATCCTGTACAACCTTTTTAGAACAAAGATAAAAGATGTATTTTTTACGCTTTATCCCTATATTCTTTATAAATAGGAGCATCGGATCATGTATTAGGGGTGTTTTGCTCTTCTCTCTTGACTCTTTTTCTGTATGTAGTCTCTCTCCTCTTCTCCATGTAACTTCCATATTCAATACATAAAATTGGTCAAAAGA